AAAAAATCGAGGCAAGGGTTTCAAAAGACACCTCTCCAAAGGAGATCTACAAGTGGATGGCCAGCTAGCTCAAGAAAGGCGAATACCCATCGCTAATAAAACGCAAATAAAAAACCACAGTGAGCTTCTACTCGGCCAGAGCCAAGGAGGGAGAGGGTAACAAGGGTTGGCGAGGCGGTGGAGAAACGGGAACCCTCGTCTGTTGCTGGGGGAGAATGTGGAAATGGAACTGCAGCCACTTTGGAAGGCAGGCTGGCCATAGGACCACCTGTCTCAGCAACTCCCCTCCTGCAGGTAAAGCTGAGAGACATGTCCAGAACGTGCACACAGAAACCGGCGTGTGACTGTGGACAGCTGTGTTGTTCAGAGCCCAAACCTGGAAATAAGCCAAAGGCCTGCAGGCTGATCGACAGATAAATGTCACACTCACACACACCACAGGGGACTTCAAAAAGCTGTTCTCGGGAAAATCCATTCTCTTTCAATTCCATTTTCTAAGGACTTTATGAAGCCCCTTGACACACACACACACACACACACACACCCCATATATGCATGCAGGTATCCATTTCACATATGCTTTGCCCACCATCATGACCCTGGGGTACAGGCTCTGGCAGGGCTGACATGAGAACAGAGAGGGCTGAGCAAAAGCAGCCCAACCCTCATCAAAGGCTGAGCCACCACGATCCCATTTACAAGAAATGCCTGGAATCTGGCTAGACCAGAGCATGTACACGGTACAGATCAGAGTTGGAAACACTGGGAATCCAGGACAGATAAACCCCTCTGAACCAATAATAACAGTAGTGATACCAGGAGGGTAAGTGTAAGGTGGGAGGCAGAAAGGGGGAACCAATCACCATGATCGACATATAATCCCCTCCCAGAGTGATGGACAACAGAAAACTGGGTGAAGGGAGACATCGGTCAGTGTAAGACATGAAAAAATATTAATAATTTATAAATTTTCAAGGGTTCACGAGGGAGGGAGGGGAAGGAGCAGAAAAAAATGAGCTGATACCAAAGGCTCAGGTGGAAGGAAAATGTTTTGAGAATGAGGGCAACAAATGTCCAAATGTGCTTGACACGATGGATGGATGGATGGGTTGTGATAAGAGTTGTACGAGCCCTCAATAAAATGATTAAAAAAAAAAAAAAAAAAGAAAGAAAGAAATGCCTGGAACAGGCAGACAGGCTGAGGCAGAAATCGGAGCGCTGGCGGCCCAGGGCTGGGATGGGAGCGACTGGGTACACAAGGGGTGATAGAGACATTGTAGAATGAGACTTGTGGGGCTATTAGTAAATCTACTAGGAAAAAAAATCACTGAAAATCAACACTGATTTCCCTTGTTAGATTCTCTTCACCAACTTCTAAGTAAGATAAAAACCACCCTCTCAGTGTAATTCCCCAAATCATGAGTTTACCCAAAGAAACACTCTTTGCTTTCCTTCCGCAGACGAGACTGACCATGCTACCTAAGCTGATGCTGGGTTGAGAACCCTGGAGAGGGGGGTATGCAGCCTCCCTTTAGAGCCCGTTCCTGAACTGGTGCAGATGGGGCACAGCTGTGTTCCTCACGTGCTCCCTGGCACCCTGGCACCCGGAGTCCCTGGGAACATACCTGGTCGCAGCAGCAGCGCACATCGCAAGCCCCGGCGGTCAGATTACAAGGACAGGGGCCGAGGGGCTGGTAGACCTGGCTGGGAATGGCAGTCATGTTCTCTGGAAAGTAAAAGCAACAGGAGGGAGGAGGAAAACCAAAGGTCAACGGAACTGTCACGTGGGTGGCACCCAAAAGAAAGCGGGGTCACCACACTGAATGTACAATGTGGAGGGACCCCAACGTGAGCGGTCGGCAAAACGTGTCCACTACCACGACCGACTGCTCTCAGAGGGGTCACAACAGGAGGTTCCTGGAGAGGACTCAAAATCCTACAAGACCAGGCTTGCTGATCATAGAGAGACTGGTGGAGCCCCTGAGACGATGGCCCACAGACAGCTGGCAAGCCTGGCACTGAACTCAACCCAGCGGCACAACTGTCTTCCTCTGAAGGGGAACAGCACCACCAGCGAGGTGCTCGCCCCTTGGAGTGAGCAGCCGTTTGAGACCCAAAGGGCAGCACTGACCCAAGCCGGGCTGAGTTGGGTTCACTGTGTGACTCTCGCCAAATGATCAGGTGGGACTATGCAGACTGGGTGTGCCCTCTCTTCCTGGTGGGACTGGTAAGGGGAGGCAGAGGAAGATGCTAATAGGGTTCTATGGATTAGTTGTGAGTGACTTAACTCGAAGAATAAAATGTTCTGGAGTCAGATACGGTGGTAACTGAATAACCTTTCTTGATATGACTGAATCATTGGATTGTATGACATGTGGGTGAAGTGCTAAGAAAATGGTTTCAAAAGAAAAGGCTTAACTATGAATACAACTACTCAAATGCAAATGGTCGATTTCGGGAAACTCACTACTAACAACAACAAAAAACCCTCTCTTTGGGGGAAGGAGGGGATACAGGGGAGCTGATATCAAAGAGTTCAAGAAGAGAGAAAATGCTTTGAACATGATGGCAGCAATTGTATAAGTATGCTTGATCTGACTGAACTATGGACTGTTACAATATCTGTAAGAGCTCCCAACAAAATGGGGGGAAAAGAAAAGAAAGAAAAAAGAGCCAGGAGGGGAAAGTGTCTTTTGGGTGCACTGCACCTCCTCAGTCTAAGAGACAGCAGGAGGCGGAGCAGTGGGCTCCCGCCTGCAGAGCAGAGAGCCGACTAAGGCAGGAGGCTGCTGAGTGCGTGCCTCCCAGAACCTGACTGGGGGAGCTGGGTTTGCTGACCCACGGAGCTGAGCCAGGTACCTTTGGACCGGAAGTCGATGAGGAAGAGTACCACTAGCCTGGTCCAGCTGCTATAGCGCCAGCTGCCATCGCACAAGGCCAGAAGGGGTCTTTTCCAGACCCCCCAATAAAGAGTCCGGAGATTTTGTTGGTTATTTCACACTCCACTGTGGTCTGTGAAGGGGCACCAATGGCGCTGGGGTGAGGGGTTGGGGCTGCCAATTGCCCGGGCAGCGGTTCAAGCCCACCCTCTGCTCCATGGGGGTAAGATGAGGCTGTGTGCTCCTGTGAGGATGCACAGGCCCAGACACCCCGGGAAGGGTTGCTCTACATTGGAATCGAGTTGACGGCACAGGGCTTGGTTTTGACTCTCTGGGAGCGTGTCACACGTGCAAACTGCACGATGAAAAAGCTGGAGGGACTGTGAGCACCACCAAACCGGGTTGCAGAAGCACGCCGGGAGCACGCTGTGGGAAAAGTCAGGCAGAGACTCGCGGCAGGGCTGCCAGGGAACTTCCGTTTGTCAAAAAGCCGAGATGCTGGACGCACTGAAGTGAGGTGGGCCTGCATCTGCTGCCCTCCATCAGCCTCACAACGTCAAAGAAACCAACCGCCCTCACAGGCGCCATCTCTCGGGTGCACGCTGAGGCCTTCAGGGAAAGCAGGCAGGTCCGTGAGACCGCACATCACGGAGTCCCACCCACGCAGGGACACACCCAGGACGAACAAGTCCAGAGACCACCCTGACAGGAGAGACTCCCAGGGGCCCAAGGGAGGGGTTTTGGGGGGGCTATTATTTCACAGGTACAGAGTTTCTGTTGGGGTGGTGGAAAGTTCTGGAACTGGACAGTGGTAGTGGTTGTACACTGTGGCGCATGCAACTCATGCCGCGGAGTGGTACTCCATAGAAAGGACAAGATGGCAGATGTGGTGTGGGGGTGAGGTTGGGAAACCAACAAGGCACAGACGAGTGTGAAGGTGTGCCCCGAGGGTGCATGTTTGGGCTCTTGGCCCAAAGTGACCAGGCTGTCTGTGCGGAGGGGAGCTGGAGGCCAGGAACACTGACACTGAAATTCTGCTGGTTTCCTATTTAAGAACAAACAAAGCCAAGTGCATCGCCATCGAGGCGATGCCGACTCACAGCAACCCTGTAGGAACGGGGAGGACCTGCCCCTGCGGCCGTCTGAAACTGTGGCTCTACAGGAATAGAAAGCCCGTCTCTCTCCGCAGAGCGGCTGGACTCGACTGCTGATGGTGCGGTGAGCGGCCCAATGAAAAACCACGACGCGGCCGGGGCGGCCCCTGGTTTCCCAGAAACTCTAGCCTTTTACACATTCTCCATAAATTCCTAAGTCTTCCCACTTCCTTTTGCTATTAACGATGGCGTTCTAGGAATCACTGGCAGCCTTTACCGTCCTGCAGAGGAAGGAAGGCGGCCTGTGGCCAACAGTCAAGCAGAACCAAACTGGGAGCCCGGCTGAGAGGAGCCTCACACTGTGCTTCCCTCGGACATGTTTGTTTGGGGTTTTGTTGTGTGTCACAGGTGTGCCATTAGCAAATCAGGTAAAGGAGCCCATGTGCAGTGAGAGGAACAGAGACAGGAAGGAGAGGTGAGAAGATGGCTGTGCGTGGGTCAGGGGTGGGGAGAGTACAGCAACCAAGAGGTGACCTGTCCACTGAGACCCGGATTCTGGGGAGGACAAACGCAGCGGGCACGGGCGTTCTGAGGGTCAAAGACTTGACTTGCCTGATGC